AAATAAACTTTTTACACGCTTTGGAAAATCTCAGAAGTTCGCGGTAGTCACTTTTCGGTAAGGAACTAAGGGACTCGGTTATTGTATCGAGTGGGGGGTCGAAACGATCGCAAAGGCGGTATACTACGTATACGCGCTAAAAATACTCCTTGAGAAATGGAGACAGTAAAACCTAGCAAGTTCAACACCACATACCAGAGGTTAGAAATGAATCATAAGAAACATTAAAAAAGATAGCAAAACAAAGTAGATAAAATAGCCAATATGTCGATACAATTCAACAAAAAAGAAAAACCTATAGGATGAGATGAGGGAAATGAAGGAAAAGAGAATGAAACTACCGAGCACCCAAAACATTCTAGCAATACCAAATGACAGATCTACCTTTTAGTGCAAGGAATTCTTGTTGATACTTCTTCAGTTTCTTCACTTTGATGCTACAGGCATATTTGATTAGAAGTCCTGCTGTTTCCTCATTTCGGCATTTTTTCGGTAATGATACTCGGAAATATTTCAAAATATTTTCAAAATCAAGAGCTAATAAATCTTTTTTGATCATCTGTAAGCAGAAGAAAAGTACACAAACTCATATCAAATCCAAAATCACAATTTTTAGGACTTCCTTTCATCCAGAAAGTTTTTAAGTCATCAGTTAAAATAAAAATCTACTTGGGCGAGGAGGATTCAAATCTGCAGAGAAAAGGACCATTTCTGAGAAAACACGCTTCAATGAATTAAATTTAATGTGAGCTACACAAGTTAACTATAGGACCAATATTTCACTTTTTCATACGCACAATTTCTACATTATCAGCATGGGAATGATTGGAAAATTACTTGAAGTTGTTCTAAACTTAATATGGTGCTGTATGATTTATCTTATAACAGGTAGAGTTTATTACATATATTGGAAAGTAGATTTTCTTGATTTCGTGCCCACAGAAAATCTCATGAAATATAACAGAACTCTTGAAAAGCTACTTGCATACTGAAGATGAAAAAATTCAGAGATCTAGATTATCAAGCTTCATAGCATATGATTAGGCAATAGACACGCTCACTTTTGTCAGGATATACTGAATTTTTCTTCTGAGAGTCAGGCCAGAATTACAGATACTCTATTAAGGAAAAATACTCTTATGAATGAGTCTGCTGTGGAGGTTCTCGGAAAGTGCAGATTTTTGGTGCATTTGCATACATTTTGTCGCTCTTCTAACGTAAAGACATGTCTCGATTTCTACATGAGCCCTTAGGGTGCGGCTTATTTCCGTCACGTCTGAAAATTGACAAGGTCCCAGTGAAAATCGGTTCTATCTATGAAAATAATAGGCTGTATTAAATTTGAGCCAATTTGAAGCTTTTTTAGATGATGCTCAAAGGGATCAAAACTACGGGCAAAATTACATTGGTTTGAATGGGCGGAAAAACGCCTGATCTGCGAAAATGCGTTTTTCGGATCTAAAATGCGCTTAAATGAAGAAAACTTGTCCAGCTCTTAGAGAGGCATCTAGGGGGCCATTCAAAATGAGAAAATCACACTTTTGACCCATGGGTGAGAGTCGGGGGATCACTTGAGTGCAAGATAAAGTATGTACACCAATTTCGTTCCAGGCCCGAGAAATAGTATGGAAGGCAACATTGTAAAGGGCCAAGAATAGTTCTCAAGGGCTAAAACAACTATTATACATTATTTCTCATCAAGTTGAGAGATGCATTTACTTCTTCAACTTCAGAACAGTTACTTTGAGTTCGATCAGAAAGTCTCAAAAGCAATCACTTAGCCGCAGGCACGGCACCTTGAAACCGGCAACGCTGTGACCCCCCTGTCCCCACTGATGGGTAAAAGGCGTGATTTTCTCGTTTTGAATGGCCTCCTAGATGCCGCTCTTAGAGCTGGTCAGATTTCTTCATTTAAGCCCATTTTAGATCCAAAAAACGCATTTTCGCAGATAAGGCGTTTTTCCCCCCATTAAAACCAATGTAATTTTGCCTGTAGTTTTGATCCCTTTGAGCATCATCTAAAAAAGCTTCAAATTAGCTCAAATTTTATATGGCCATTATTTTCATAGATAGAAGCGATTGCCACCCGGACCTCGTCGATTTTCAGACATGACGGAAATAAGCCGCACCCTAATGCACCTTGTTCCCTATGAAATTTTATGCTCTACAGGGCTTATGTGAAGATAGAAATATGCCCAGACGTTAGAGAAGCGACAATGAAGAGCGTTAGAGAAGAGCCTGGGTAATCAGTTCTGCCGATACCAATACACTATTAGGGATTGCAGACTACATTGCAGATCTTGATGAAAAGCCGGCAGTTTGCACATATTTCTGAAGACACGGGTTTTAAGTGTATTTTGTGGCATATAGTTTGAAGAATTCTGCAGGTATCAACAAATTTTTTGCACTTGCTGCAAATGCTTTGGAAAAATTCCAGCAGAAAATGAAGGGAGCTGAACAAAGAAATATTTCTTACGGACAAATACAGAATACAACAGATGAGTAAGATAAGCTAAAGGGTAGCTTATCTTCAAAAAATTAAAAAGGTAAAAATATGATTGAGCACTGAAATTCACTTAATTTTTTCCCCTCATTTAAGTTTTCCAGATGTTGTTGTTATCTTCAGTGACTCGTCAATTCCTGTAGCATAAAGGTTGACATACCACTGTAGACTGTAAGACTGCCAGGAGAATGTAAATTTAAGTTTTGAAAAATAGAGCAAATGAATTTTAGTTTTTTGGTTCATTTTCACCTACTAAATTTTTAGCCATATAAAAAAATGTTATCCTTAAAACTACAGCAGAAAGGAACATGACTTACCATGAGCAAAGCAAGGGCAATTTGAAATAATGTGTCAAGACCTTGAAAGAGAAAAAGATCTATGACTCTAAATACAAAATACAAGGGAAATCTAGCAGTGTATAATGTCAAGAACCATTGAGATGCAAACATGTGAGTCTCCACTCCTTTTTCTTTCAGATGAGACCATAAGGCAGGAATCTGCTCCTGTAAAGTAGATAAAGAGAAGATCATTAGGATTAAATAAATTCTCTGAAGATCATCTGAACTTAGAATTAAACCGATATTCAATAATGCCTCTTGCAAAAACCAACATTTTTAAGCATAATACAAGGTCTATTAGATAAGAAACCGGATTTTGGTGATAACTAGCCCATTTTGCATCTAAATTAAGTTTCTTTGGACTCTCCTGATAGCTGATAGCATACTGAAGAACGCTAGATTCACAGATTTTGTTCATTTTGATCAGTGTTCATTCTGTGTTACCTTGAATACAAGAAAGTCAAGTGCGTTCTGTGATTTTAATCATGCGATCACTGTATCGATCACATTGTATGAGTTGTTCTTGGTGTTTCGAGTGGTCTAAGCAGTTTAAAACTGGTCAGGAGTCCGTTGAAGATACAGAGCACGGGAATCGATCATGAACGGCAACTGACTTTTGCCACGTGGAAGAAATGCAGGCAAAAGAGCTCGAAAATGGTCGTGTCGAGCTTTCTGAGCAGCGTTATATTTCTGAGGGCTCAGCACATACAATTTTGATAGAATATTTAGACATGCATCGAGTTTCAGCTAAACTTTTCCCGCAATTGTTGTGCATTAGTATCTACCTGGTGGATAAGCCTTAAAAGAACTTACTTCTATCAACCGGTTGAGTTGGTAAAGTCTTAAATACAAATTTTCAAAACCATCTTTATACAAGTCTCTAAGTCCATAATCATACATAAGTTTCACCAACACACAAAACGCTTGCTCTTCTGGCATCTGCAAACAAAAGAAAAAAAAGGACACACTTCAGTAAAAATTGACACCTATTTTGACACCAGGCCTTAATTTATTGGTTGGAATTGGTTACTTAATAACATTTGACCTAAATGGCATCTCAACTCAGGTAACTCTTTTTGTTTGTTTTGAGGTAACTCTTTTTTTCCTCAAGCAATTTAGAAAATGAATTTCCCTGATTTCCCTGACACATTTTTGTAGAATTCTTTGACATTTGAAAATAAGCCAGATGGTTAAAAAGACGTAATTTTGTCAAACCCATTCTGAAAAGCAATTAAAGGTGACCTAACAACTTTTCTCTAACACCTCCAGGTTTTCTTCGTTTCTTTAAAATTTCCGGACATTTACCGGTGTTGCTGGTAGCCCCTGCCTCTGGTACCCTGATTACAATCATCAATGAATCTTGATCAAAACTATTGGGCCTTAAAACTGAGCATCATTGCGTCTTCATAAAGCTATTTTCCATAATTTTTGCACTTGATTAACAAATATGAAACATCTGTTTTATCTGCATACTTAGAACCTTTGACAGGAAGCTTCTCTAATTTAGTTGGAGGGGATTTCTACACAAAAAACGATGTTGAGATAATGAGGGAAATCGGTCTCGGAGCTAAAACCTTGACAAATGCTGCAAATCATACTAAAAAATAATAGTTAGGATGCAAGGTATGAGTTAGAATGCAAATGTTGAGGTCAAGCACGTGACATCATAGGTTCAAAGGTCCAAAGGGGGGTGGGATAAATACAAGAGTGACTAAATGAAAAGATGGTGAAAAACTCAGATGCTCTTTCAGATGAAGGTATTAAGTTCTTAAAAAGACACTTGCATGAGACGTGTCACAAATTTTAGATTTATTGTGGACTTAAAAGTTTTATCGGGCAGAATTAGGGTCAGAGGTTTCAGCATTTTTCCGGGAGCTCACAATCAGTTGCTGGTGCGGTGCTGATCTGCAGCCCGTTGGCCAGCACTGGACCTGTGGCGTTGTGAGGTTTTTGCTTTCCCTGCATAGCAAGTAGATGAAGCAGAGTCTGAATGCAGCTATTATACCTCTGTTCGTATCTCATTCTAAGCTATCATTGTAAAGCAGCTTCATTTTTTGGACTGACATCTCGTTTAAGGAGATGGAAATAATACTCAAATAGAATTTAAAATTAAATTGATAAAATTATAAATACTGGATATTAGAGAAGGATAAATAAGAAACTGCGTGAGAAGAAACTAAACATACATGAAGAAGGAGTGTGGCTGCTAGAAAACTGAGTCCCTGGCAGTATCCAACTTCAGAGTCATGAACAGCGTATGCTTTAGATATCCTATACAGAGAGTCTTGGCCCATTCCTCCTGCTTCCTTGAAAAAATCATTCGCAGGAAAAGTACGGTTGATATCTCTTTGAATTACACTTTCGCAGCTGCTTTCCTGGAAAAAAAAAAAAAAAAAAAGTTAAATATATACTGCTTAACATAAGTAACACATTGGTATAATTTTGTAGCAACTGATTAATGTGCCTTAAATTTTGAAGGAATATTTTCTTTTTCGTTCAGATATTCTCTTGAAAAATCGAGTCCAATAAGTGTGGCACAATGAATTGGATCACCACAAGAGCAGTGCTTGTTTAGAGAAGCTATTATGATATTGTTGCCAACAGAAAAATTTCAGCAATTGTACAAGTTAACACCCTACATAGCGCAGATGCTGACTCCTTGAACAGTTTTAACTGCATCCACTAGTGAATATACCGCAATTACCACATCACTGATTGACAACTCATAGGTCAACCAAAGCATTAAGACACTGCAAATCATCATTTCAAAAATTTTGTAGATAAAAAAACACTCACTTGGGTGATAAGTATTCTATAGGTATCCATGGTTGCATCATCATTTTCACTTTGTGCAAGTCTCTGCCACACCTCTCCTCTCAAGGCTTCCGGAATACCTTGTTTGACTAGCGAGTTCAATTGTCGTGGTTTTGCATTGTTTGCTCTCCATCTAGCCAATACATCAGCCCAAGAAGATAATTCGTCTTCGGGGCAGTCTTTCGAAACCTCTCCTGTGCCACTCAACAAAGGCTCATCTCCATCTGATTGATCATAAGAATACAAAATGATGATGAAGAGGAAAAAATAAATGAGAGGGATTGAAAGAGAAAATAATTTGAATGAACTAAAGAAACACTTATGAAACACATAGGGCAGTATTTTTTTAGTAAGTAAAATCTCACGACTGATTTACCAATCCTTCACTTCCAAATGAATATTTAGAGAGATATATGCAAGATTTCTCACTTTTGAAAGTAAAAATTTCAGAGTAATCTATGATAAAAGAAAAGTTCTTTCACTCAGCAAATTTTCACTTGTTGTTGTAGTTGCCTACTAGGGCAAAGCCAGGAGGGCGCAAAGGTGATAATCTCTTGACAATCCACCTGCCTTCTTTTCAAATTATGACAGAGGTTTATGAACCTTCAAACGCTGTCGAATTCCCCTGGATAAAATGAAAATTTTCAGAAATTCCTGGGAATAATATCCGTCTATTTTTCAAATAATTCGATTTGCACTCACAAGGGGAGCTTTCCAAGTGTAACCGGAATTTCGAGTTGGAATTTTGCATGAAGATACTAGAGATGATTTTAGGGATGCCGTATTTTTTCGTTTTTTCGAATGGGGTCGGGAAAGCCCTCAAAAAAAGGGCTAAAGATGCGGAAAAAACGCGTGCGCTAGCGGCACAAGGTAAACATAGGTGATAGAGGCTCTCCATCCTTATCAGTTCCGCATGGCCAAACGGTAGCGTGCTCGCCTCGCAGGCGGGAGGTCGTAGGTTCGGATCCTGACTATAGCCCGTAATTTTATTTTACTTGATGCTTATTTATTTTTCACTTACTTTATTTTGCACCATTCTCTCCGCAAACCGACTTACGAGGTAGAACACGTAGTGACTGAAGATTTTTACATACCTATGCTGATAAAAACTTGAAGTTTCTCTTGGATTGAAACGTTATATATGATTGAATAAACAAAAACTCTAAAACTCACCAAATTTCGTCGCTAAGCTGAATTTCCGGAGTATCAGTCAGATACAGATACAGATTCGACTGATACTTCGAAAATTCAGCTTGGCGACGAAATTTGGTGAGTTTTAGAGTTTTTGTTTATTCAATTATATATAACGTTTCAACCCAAGAGAAACTTCAAGTTTTTATCAGCATAGGTATGTAAAAATCTTCAGTCACTACGTGTTCTACCTCGTAAGTCGGTTTGCGGAGAGAATGGTGCAAAATAAAGTAAGTGAAAAATAAACAAGCATCAAGTAAAATAAAATTACGGGCTATAGTCAGGATCCGAACCTACGACCTCCCGCCTGCGAGGCGAGCACGCTACCGTTTGGCCATGCGGAACTGATAAGGATGGAGAGCCTCTATCACCTATGTTTACCTTGTGCCGCTAGCGCACGCGTTTTTTCCGCATCTTTAGCCCTTTTTTTGAGGGCTTTCCCGACCCCATTCGAAAAAACGAAAAAATACGGCATCCCTAAAATCATCTCTAGTATCTTCATGCAAAATTCCAACTCGAAATTCCGGTTACACTTGGAAAGCTCCCCTTGTCAGATCTAAATTAACTGAGAATTTCGAGAGAAAATATCACAACCGTCCTTAAAAATAAACATTTCATTGGAGAAAATTTGGCAACTCTCGAATGTTTAAACAGCGCCCTTCTGTAGTCAAAAAATATTTAAAATCTGTTCTAATACACGTATCAAAGAAGTAGAGATATAAGTATTTAACATATGTATACACAGGAGAAATTCCAAATTTTCTTACCCGATGAGTCATCTCGGGGAGAGAGTGCTTCAACAGAGCTTAGGCTGGGTGATCTGATAAAGTTAGCGAGCTTGTTAAACGTCAAGTTTAATCTATTTCTATCCAACTCTCCGGAGCATTCGATAGATACTAGCTTATATTCTAGATTTTCAGTGTTAGGAACCTAAAACAGAAAATTGATAATATTTCAAATTTACTCACTTGCAGTAATGTTTTAAATACTGAAAACTGAATGACAAAAGTACAAACTAAACGTGAAACACTGAAATTTACTGCCAAGCGGACTTAAAATACTTAATCCAGAAACACTCCATTGAATTTTGTGCGACGAGATATCATGAGTTAGTCTTATAATAATGCAATAACCCTCAAATCAGCATTATCTGGCTCTACAATCTCACATTGTACACTCATTGCCAATATACTTTTTTTTTCAAAAAGAATATAAGAATGCTAACTGTAAAAATTGCACAAAACATGTTGGCAATCCATAAAAGATTAAAGGACACTATGATTTTCCTGTGTGGTCTGTCTACGTGTGCCTAAGTAGAGGTAGGTTTCATTTACATCTATTTTGATAAGATCTTCTCATCTTTTTACAAACTAGGAATGTATAAAAGTCTAATTTGACAGGGGGGGAGGGTATTAAAATGATTTAACTTCTTCAAAAAAATTATTAGAATAAAATTGAGTCCACGCCAAAGACATTTATGCACTTTTAGACTGCAACAGAAAATTGATGGATGTCAGTTTAACAAGAATTAAGGTGGCGGATCGATCTTCTGTCCCAGTCTAAGACTGTGGAAACTTACTTGGCGTGGACTCTTGTCAGCTTTAAAAGTCTATTGAGGAATTCTTAAAAATTATTCTCCAATCTTGGTAATGAAAGCCACAAGTAATGACGATGAGAAAATTTTGCACCCAATTACAAGCCCAATCTCAGTTAATATGTTCATTTTCATTTTAACTGAATTAAACCTGTAAATCCTCTATACCTCTGGTTTTTAGGTTTCAAAATATTTTCTTGGGTTGCTGATCTACACTTAAATTATTAATAAACACTAATTTAAAATTACTTGCTTCAATTCACTGACTGTCAATCAAGATTACAAACCTGTTGTAAGTGTAAATAAAACTGTTGGATGACAGGCCGCCAGATAAAAGACCAGAATTTTTCATTCTGTGGGAATATTTTCACAGGAGTAACTAACGAGAATCTAACTGGCTCACTAATACAGTCCATAACTAGATCAACAGCAATTGTCAAATAATTTTTTTGACTTTCAACATTTAATGACTCAAATACAGGGTTTGTGGGATCCCAGTGTCCAGAAATAATATAGCTTGTGCAGCCATTTTCTGATCTTAGGCCCATAGAAAACTGCAACACAAAACAATTAATGAAAGATGAGTGGAAAAGTTTATTCATATGGAAGGGAAGCTTTAAATCACAGACCAAATATCAAGGTAAGAATATCAAGGAGCACTAACATGAAAATTGCTCCTATTAAAGGCTTTGTCTCCTTGAAATGTGTTCATGAGAAAGGTCGCAAGATCAAATCACAAGAAAAAAATTTTGGTGATTTTTCAGTTACCGTTTTCACAGAGCAGACTTTTCACGTTTCTGCCAAAAGTTTGCACAGGGAGATAAATTAATAAAAATCGAGTGTGTTAACAGAATTAAGGCACAAAATAACTGAAGACAATTAACAATTTAACCAATTATTTAAAATAAATGATCACGAAAAATTGAGTTGACAGAATATTAAAAAATTTGCTTTCACTTCTTTTTTTCCTCTGAGTTGGCCTTGAAGCTCTACAAGGACTTTAAATCCTTGGTAAAGCAATCAATATTGAATTGATCAATTTTCGTTGCAACTTCGTAAAGGCTACTTTTCACTGCTTGCTCAAATTGCAGGAAAACGCCCTGTGCAGAGAGTCCTTCAGTTCTCAAAGGAAAGAGCCTGGTAATAAGTTTCATACAGTGGCATTTTTGCATACATTGAAACAAGCTGTTCATAAAATAGTTAATCCTCTAGATGTCACTCTATCAGAAATGTATCTTTTGTGAAAGAATTCCATTTCCGTTCTCCTTCATTAACTTACCTGGATGATTAAACAATTGTAACATACAAAATCGGCAACAGATCATTGGGCTAATGGTCCTTAATAATACTTTGGTAAAAATTCATCAAGTTACGCTAAATCTTAATAAAGGTCCGAGACAAATTCAGCACTTTAAATCCCGGGTGCAGAAAATGCTCAAGTATGCAAGTCCCCTTGTATGAGGTGCGAGGGAATATGGGAGCTTATGAGCACATTTTTCTATGATATGGTTTTTTTCTTTCTTTCTTTAAACAAAGAATGAGAGTAAGAAAAGAACTTGCTGAATTTTGAAATTTTTGTACTTGATTTGTAATTTGACATTTCCACAAAAAGAGGAAATTTGGAGGCTAAGATTGTGACTTATTTTCGTTTAGAAGAACTATCTGCACCTCTGAATGAGAAAAAGCCAAGGTTCTTGTGTGTTAAGTCACATAGTTTTCTATGCATGAAGGAATCAAAATTCTTTAACTCTTTAACTGCAAAAGTTTGCCTTGAGATTCACAACAAGTTGAGAGTGTGCCTCTCAGCTAGCAAATATGACAGATATCACTCTGAGGCAGCAGTAGCGTCAACACTTGAACATGGCTGTAATGTGAGTTTCAGATATGATGTAGATAATGATAGAGTGTTCCCTGCTCCCTCCACTCAGTAGATATGATTTAAGAATGGCTGCTGCACGTGCTGGTCCTTGGGGAACGGCATGGCAGTTAACAAGTTGAAAAAAATGATTGCAGAACGGATACTATTGTTTTCTTTTTTTAAAGTTCAAATCACTGTAGGTCAAACATTTAAATTGACCTGGTTTAAAGCTGCCTGATTTTACATCATGTAAAAAATAATCGGTCAAAACAATTGTTTTTTAAATAAAATCTTCATAATTACTTATAATCCATCACAGAGGCTCAATATTTATTTGGAATTGAAATAATAAAGATTAACTCACAATATCTAGTAACTGCATATCACTATGACGGACATGGCGGCCAGGAGAAACTAGGACACCGAAACATCGCTCAACTTGAAGAGAGTGGGCATCAGCATCGTTTGACATGACCTGCTTTACCGTCAGGCAAATTTGTTTAGCTACATTACTCCTTAATTTTAGGTAACTTTTCTCTCTTGGCACTAATGCAAAACCTCCCTGAAATACACAAAATGATTGGAAACGATCAGCTGCTGTTGGATAAATTATGAATTGAAAGCACCATATTGTAAATGTCCTCTTCAAAATTTTACATTGGAAGCAATTCATACAGTGGAAAGTTAGAAAATCAATGGTAAAGCAAGAGCAATTGACATGTTCACCTCGCAGTAACCACACAAATTACAGCATTAGTATTTTTGTGTCATTCACTTAATGTTTACAACAAATACTTAAATTATCTTCTTTAAGAGTTGATTTCCAAACTTTTCATGGAGTGATTTAATTCCTACATAAAAATTTGAATAAAAAACACGGAATAAGTGCTTGATTTTGTACCTTGTAAAGGGCCATTGTTGACTAATAACAAATTATTTCACGAAGAAAAACGCCACAAAATTAGGTACTTGGTCAAAAACATCAAATTGACGGCTGAAAGGATGCTTCACAGGCAAAAAATTCTGAGCAGCATTTAACTAGAATTTTAAATTTGACACTTGCATTACTTAGATATCACAATGGGCTCCGTGTGCAAGTCACAGAGTAAACGAATGGATCATAAATGAATCTTGTAGATTAGCCAAGAGGGAATTAGAGGAAAACACCTTTTAAGTCTTCATTTACGTAACTCAAAAATCAGAGATTGAGGCTCTTTCTTTGTTAGTCATTATTATATCCATAGTTAAGAACTTACCTTGCCATCATCTTCCTTGATTTCTAATAAAACTTCAAAAACAAACATTTTCACATTACTTGCTTTACTTCCAAATTCATATTGCTCACTTTGACTCAGATCACCATTCAAAGATAGTGTCATAGATTTCGGTTTCTCAAAAGCCTTGGCAAAACATAATGAAACTTGTCCAACCTACGACAGAAAATTAAAGTGACATCAGCCAAACATGCATCAATTGGAGGAGAGCTCAAACCAAAATCAAGGACTTTCCGGTACCTCTGAATTAATTTTTATGAAATTTCAAGAAAGTCTTGACAAATTTTGATAACCCTTAGTCATGCTTCACAATGAAACATTTCTTTTCCTATGTTTTGTAACTATAAATACCTTTCATTCAAGCTCATGCCTTTTCTAGTGACCAGTCCCCGCACATCTCAAGATTTTGATGATACTAACTTCTCATGAAGAATTTTATTTGATTTATCAAAGCATATAATGTTAAAATTACTGAACAAAAAATAGATTTTTTTAGCAAATCTACAGATTAGTTCTACTCAACTTCATTTAGTCATTTTGTAAGACAGGTTAATCAAGAAATTGCCTCATAACTGTGGCATGATACTTACAGCTTCAGGAATATCACATTTGAAAACATGGCACTGGAAAATAGCTGATTCTAACGTATCACCGTGCGACCAGGTGAATGCGAAACAGGCAGCCTCTTTGGTATCGCTTGTACCACGCGCATAAAAAGAAATCCGAGGGATTTCATATTTACCCATTACAACATTAGTTGCTGCATCATATATACTGAAAAAAAAAAGAGAAAATATTATATTAATAAAGTCAACAAGTTAAAAGTATAACAGGGGGGAGGGGGGAAGGATTGAATTATTCACTATACTCCTTGACAGCCAAATTGACAGGTTAAATTCAGATTAAAATTTATGAATTTAGACATGAGTGGACCATAGCTAGGTTCTGCTACCTAGAAGCCAGTTTTTGAGCACCCCCAAACAATAGGCTGCAATCTGCTCTTGTGTAAGTTCATGCATTTTTAACAAAATTATAAACAACTGCCAGGCAATACGTAGTGTGCCATTGCATCGAGTGATTGTAAGACAAAAATTTTAAACTTCATTAAAAGTAAAATTACCACTGATAAATAATGTGCTTACAATTTTTTTTATTATTAGGTTAGTTGCGTTATATTCCTTCCCAACAGTCTTTGCTAACAAACTCTCAACTTTAGGTAACTTTCATGTATTTATGACGTCCTCCTCTGTGTTCTGCCTTTGCTGGGAGCCATGCACCAAATGTGCCTGAAAAGGGCCAAAGAGGCTGGGCCTCTGTGGCATCTAGAAAAGTTGACACACCTTGTCAGTTTTTCTAATTTGCAACCAGGAAGCAGCGGTAGTACTTTCAATACACCGTTTGCGATACAGATCGGGAACAAGGAGATTCGAGAACAGATCCGAAGACACAGGTTGAAACAGCATATCGACGGTGAAACTACCAAACCACGTATCTCGGTTTGCGACGTCGCAGACTTCCTGTCATACTTTATTTTTTAAATGAAAAACTACTTAACATCCAGTCTTGAAAATTTCTGTGATTTTTCCTCTTTGTGCGGAGAAAATTCCGTGAAAATTTCAAGGAATGATATTGATTTGGTCTCCTTCAAAAAAATAAAATGTGAGCGTAGATTTTTAAACACCGCAAACGAGATACGTGGTTTGGTAGTTTCACCGTCGATATTGTGCGCAAAAAGTAAATTTGACTCTTAAAAATCGGGCTATTCCGCCAGGGTAAAATTTTAGGAAGAAGGCAGAACACTCGTCCTCCCGCAGAAAAAATGATTGAACAACCTTCGAATTTTCAGTTTCTTTCCTCAAAAAGCACGATTTTCCTTACAGTTTCATTTTTCACTTTAGATTAAGACTGATTTAAAGACTCTCAAATGATTCTCATGATAAAGTCCAGGATTGGGGATTTTGTCCAAGATTGAGAATTTTCTGAAACTCTGGGTCAAACTAACAACTGAAGATACTTACACTACAGTTCCAGTTGAATAACTGGGAATTGAAAGAGACACTTTAATTGCTGTATCAGCTGATTGTTCATTATTCAGAATTGCCATATTACGTAAGATTTCTGGCTCGCTTTTGGGTGCATTAATTGCAGCTGCACCCAGGTAAGTAATGCCATTGAACATGGTACAGTCTTGAATAATGTCGCCGCCATTATCTGAAAAACCTAGGATTAAAAACATACTTAATGTTAGTTAAAAACAAAGGGACTTATTCACCACTAAGTATTTTTTCCCCAGTAGGTACCTCAATCACTACAACACCAGGGTCAAAATTTCCTGGAATAACTTAAAAAATGTCCCTGAAAGGATCAAAATATTATTATGCTGCATTGTCAGTATATACTGATTTTCAAGATTTCTCTATAATCTCATAAAGAACTAAGCTATACTGGGTTGCTTGTGATTTAAATCAGAGGAAAAGATTTTGCAATTAGCTCTTTATTCACTGTTGATTAATTGGCAAAAAGTTACAATTTACACAGTTGGAATTTTTTTTTTTTTTTGTCTATTTGTGCTGAGTTCAGGATGATTCTGAAAAGAAAAAAAAAGTGTTATGATTGGAAAATAAAATATCATCTACCCTTTAATGTTTGCGACTTTATTTCTCAATACCCAATACTTCAGATTCGAATATTGAAACAAAAAATGTATGCAGTTTGGATCAAAAGCGCTAGAAGTTTCAGAAAAAATAATACGACCTTTGCAGATTAGCAAGACAATTATCTTCATTTTAGGCTAGTTTATTTATCTTAATCTATCCAAACTACTTTTGCCTTATGTTCGGTTTTATGTGGTTTCAGATCTTTCATAAATAAAACAAATTGTCATAATTGATACAGTAAAGGTTATAAAACAAAAAAATAAACATACTGTTCTCTGCGAGTGTCGCCCAATAATCGTCATCAGCTATTTCACTGATGGCCACATCAGAGGGCATATAATCATCTTTCGGAGAGATTGGATTTTCTTTGAGCTTACTACCCTCCGAGCAATCTTTTTGATCAGAGTCACTCATTGTTTCACTTTCATTTAGCACTTCATTCAAACAAGTTTTTAACTGGTTGAGATCACCATTGTCTGCTATTTTCAGGTATGGCAATGGATACAGCAAATTTTGCCGCTGCGAAACAGAAAGAATGAACATAACATCAATTGAGAATGCTGTGAGTAAAAATGCAGCCTCTGATTAATGAATAAATCTAAGTGATACTTCACGGTATTGCTAAAAATTAGTTTCAGCACGATTGATTAAAACTTGGTAAAAGAAAAATTTAAAAGGCCTAAATTTCAGTTAATAATACAAGTGACACCTTCATATAGATATTTTCATAGACTTACAAAGATGTACTGTGCATCTCCTGAAAGAGGAAACCATGAAAAAAACAGCAAAGAATAAGTTCTGCTGTAGCTAAGCACGTATTGCAGGCCATTTTAAAGCAGAGTGCTTTTTCTTTTTTCTTCTTTTCCATTTCTAATTTCTAATTTAATTTTTTGGAGGGGAAAATACTTCAGTTCCTATCTCGAATAATCTTATTTTTTCTTGTTTTGGCCAAACTTTTCAGTAGGTAATCGGGATTAAAGTAAAATTTGGTCCAAAAATTGTTTGTCCTAGGTCCCTGTAATTCTTTTGCCACAGAAAGTGGGGGAGCAAAATTTGTAATCCTCTTTTCAAGAGAATTTCCCAAATTATGCAGCCCTAAAAAACTTAAATTCTCTTTCCAATAGTATACCAATTTATTTACGGAAAAAAAACTGCGTTGAATGTTGAAAAAAAATTACGGTGGCTAATGTTGAAAAAATATCCTAAGAATTTCACATATTAATGCAACATTTTAGCTACAAAATGCTAGTTGAGTGTAGATAGAAAAAAGTGACATACTTGAAGAGGGTCATTGATGAACTCATAATCATCAGAGGGAATTGATTCACCAGATAATTCACTAACAGTGTCGTCCATGAGTCTGCTGCAAAGCCTTCACAATGAAAAAAAGAGCAAATTCATTAGTTAAAAGTTTTTTCAGGCTAAATTAAAGGCAGAGAAAGACAATTCATTCAATGTTTCAGAAGAGAACCTAATGATATATCCTGACAGTATTAAAACAAGTCAATATTTAAGTCATTCTGTCTGTCACATGAATGAGATGTTCGATTGAATGAAATGATATCCAAACCATTCATTCAAGGATTCTAAATTTTGACAATTCATCTGATTTTATTGGAAACTTTGAGTAGATATTCATTGATAGCAGCATTAAGTAAATCAATGGCAAAAAAAAGCAGAGCTTGAGAGTGCAATTCCCATTTCAAATGGTTTATCTACATTGCATCACTGATAATATGTACCACTTGGGGAGATATTATGTATGCACCAGCGCAGCTGCAGGCCGATTATTCAAATTTCGTATTGGTCTTGCGGACATAGGTTAAACGGCAGAGTGTGATTGGTCGACTATGTCTTATCGCTGCTTAGTCATGCCTTCATCAGGTGCAATAGACGACATACTGTCGGGAACTGAAGAGATGCCTTTAGCTTGTCATGAATTCCACCTGACAAAGGCATAACAAAGCAGCGATAAGACAAAGCCGACCAATCGCGATCTGCCACTTAACCTATGTCAGCCTGACAAACACAAAATTTCAATAACCAGACCACTGATGGCATCATCCGAAATTTCTTCCAGAATGACTATGTAAATTAGTAGACTGAAAATAACAGGAAGACTTGGAATGACTTCGGAATATCAGGCATTTGATTTGCTAGAAATATGTGAGCACTTGGATGATATCAACTGTTCTCAGATTTGCAACCATTATCTAAAATACGCCTCTGAGATACATAAAGCTAATTCATTATCTTAAGAACAAACCATCCTGCTTCGATGAACTTGTCTCAAATGACTGGCAAAGCACCATTTTCAAAAGAAGAGACTATCATTAAGGTAGATACTTGGCACTTGTCAACTAATTTTAACTACGTTTGGAGATTAAGCAAACGGATGATTGAAATTGGCACCCGACAGTTCTCAGGAAAGATGATAATATTAAGACTCCAATTATAAAACAAAGCAAGGAAAAGTAATACAAATATACATATACATAGTAATAAACATATAGCTTGCTGGGCTTTCTAAGTCCCTCAGTAATGACATCAAAAGTAAATAAATGACAGAACATTCTTAAGTTCACTAATGTTATCATGATTGCTATGGGAGGGATTGCGTTACAAGATGATGAAGCTTAAAATCATTCCATCATGGATGAGAAATTACGGCTCATTAATGTTAGAGCCATGAGGATGCTCAAAATGAAAATCAAAGACTAGAAAAATAGATACGAAGGCAAGTGACGAGGGTGTGTAATAGGACAGGGTGATGACTGTCACAAATCAGATGTCATTGGGAACTTGAAAAAAACTACTAAGCTAATTCAGACTAAGTCTGAGAATTATTAAAACAGATAAACTTCAATCAGGATCATTCTGATATAAGGAAACTTAAGCAGACGCTCCAAACATAAATTTAATATATAGTATTATGCAAATGGTTACTTGCGATCAAGAGCAAGTCATAACTACTTTGAAATAAACAAGAGATTGTCACTTACAAAGCCCGGTAATTTCTTTAAGATAGCCATGGACTACTCATTTAACGAAAAGATAAGTTAGCATTAAAACTTATGAATTAAAAAAAATGTCACAAACTAAAGTTAACGTCACTTATCACTAACCGCTCCACCTGTCCGCCATTACATTACAGCTGATTGAGAGACAGAGTTACCTACAAAGTTGATGTCCGATGTTCTCGGAACAGGTAGTATTCTGAGAGATCCGGAAAAGATCCGGAACCTTCATAAGACAGCGGAATTTGTTCCGGGATCAATGTTTACCGTTAATTAATTAAATTAATTAATTAATCCATTTTGGAGTCCTCTATTCTTATGAGAAAAAGAAAATCAAATCATCCGATTTGACGGATTATATTTATTGAGGATAGATATCGAAGACCATCCTCTGAAAATTTCGAGAAAATTCAAAGGGGAAATTTCATGCAATGTTGTTGAATTGCTCCATCATCCATAATTCGCGAGTCGCGTATATTCAGGGCAGGCTCTGAGGTTCCCAAATTTTCATTTGTGCATCCCCTTTGACCCATAAGATATTGAGTATGCACACCCAGAATCATCCTTGGAAAATTTCGAGAATATCCA